GCTAAGGCTACTCTTGTAGTACCACTCTTACGCGAATTCAGAATAAAATCCATCTTGCTCTCAATCTCGTTTTCTTTTACATCTTTTTATTTTCATTTAAATAGTGTTCTTGATTGCTTGTGTGCGGTTCCACAGATAGATGGGTCCTCTGGGAAATTAGGGTTTACTCTAAATTCCTTAACTTACGTAAAATCGACAGGGGTGAATTTCGGTTCCCACAGCAGATACAAAACACCATCGATGTCGCCATGTTCGATAATCTCTACACATAACTAGATTGTACAGGTCTCACTGGAAAACATGTCATACGAACCTTACCTCTAAGACATACTAAGAAAAGTTTGATCCCTTCAAGAGGGTACGTAGGCAGGCTTCACTAGACGCAGTCCCAATCCTACCGCTTTCCATTCCAAGGAGAGTGGGAAGACCACTTTCAACAGAACTTTTAAATCATAAATTCCACCCAACTTTCCTAAATTTGTCTATCCATTTGCTAGAATCTCATGCTAGAAGCTCAAGGTTCTAAGAGATGGGGGCTAACTGTTGGGGTCAAAATCGGTCACGACTGACTCAATGGCTAAAAGTCCCGGAAAAAGCATACAAGAAACTATAGACTTTCTATGGTGATACGAAGTTACGGAAAACTCGTATCACAGTATGAAATAATTAAAAAAAGACGTCCTTGTTTATTGGGGTCAAAATCGGTTACGATGAAGTCAACGACCAAAACTCTCCGCAAAGTTAAGGATAGGTCTATAAAAATACGAAAAAGCTTCGAGAAGAAACCTAAGGACTTTCCAAACAAAGGATTTCTGTAAACTTAACAATCGTCATCTTGGAAATCATCAGAGAATCGATCCGCAATTGTCCAATTGGCCAAATTAACAAAACACGGCCGTAACGTCCAAATTCCCCGAAACGGTAATGCTGTTCTTAAGGTCGAAAACGATAACCTCGAGATAAACGTCTACGATTATTTCTCCTTATACTCTCCAAGAGGATGTCAGATCGATAAAACGAGAAACAATCGAGTCTGAACAACCTACCAGCTCGTCAACAGGTGAGCTGGCCGTGCTTGACCAACTCGCCTATTGGCAAGATGAACCAACCTGACCAGCTCACCAACAGGCAAGCTGTCCATCGCTAACCATCTCGCCTCTTGGCGAGCTGAACCAAACCATCCATGCTCTTCTACCCGATAGTACTCTGAACCGTGACTGAAACGTCTTTCGTTTTGTCTCGATCTGTCTTGCCGTTGGAGTTTTACGATAAAAACCGTAAAAGGTTTGTTTTCTGGTAAAACCTCGAGTAAATCATGTAAAACGTAAACGGTTAAACAAAAAACCGAACATTGCCAAACTATACGATTAACTCGAGTTTTTTTATAAAAAAATCATCGTATCAGGAAACGATCTCACCTAAAGTCGTAAAACGGCTAAATCGCTAAACGGCTCGGAAAATCCTAAAACGCGATAAAGGCCTACGCACGACTATAGACAAGATCCTGCCCAAACATATTATGACGGTTTACCCATTACTCGCAGGAATTGATAAATATCAAGTTTGAAGACAAGATAGAAGTTTTCCAAAGAAGAACGGAAAGATCGAGACAAATGGAAGATTTCCGAGAAAGCATGTATCAAGGCGGAAAAGGAAACACCAACCGCCTAGGGAAGGAGTATATAAGAAGGAGGTCGAGGACAAGAACAGGGACCGGTTTTCAGAGCTCTCACCTCAGAACTTTTACAACTTTTCTAGACTTAGAATTTTCTGCACTTACAAACATAGGCTTTATTCTTGACAAGTTCGGTTTCTATGACTGGCACTCAATTACTAAACGAACTCGCCCAAGCAGTTCGATCTCTTGTCCAGCTCTATCAATTGAACTACGTTTGGCTTGATCCTCGAAAGGGGTACGTAGGCAGCCTTTCATAAGGTTCAGTCTGAAATCAATCAAAACCTTTTTTTCTTATCTTTTTCGTCTTTTGTTATCGAGCTGCAACTCAACCAGGTTTAGGGTTTTATGTTGCTAGAACTAGGTAACTTTCTGACGGCCCCTGCGGCCAAATCCTTTGTAATTTCTAGTAATGATCGCAACGCTCGTACGCGAATTCGAAATAAGATCTACTTTCTTTATAAATTCGTTTATCATGTTTTTCATATTTTCCGCATTTATTTGGTTACTTGTCGTTGGATCTCGCAGAGATCCGGGTCTCCAGGAAAATGAGGGTTTTCCTAAGTTTCCTTATTTTACGGAAATCGACGGTGTGAATTTTGGTTCCCACACATCTCTAATACATAGAACTCCTCTCTGAAAACATCAGAACTCTACAAAACTCGAGCTTACCTTTGATTGTAATGCAAGGAAAAACCCGAGCTTGATACAGTATAAGCAAATAGAGAGAGAGAGAGAGAGAGAGAGAGAGAGAGAGAGAGAGAGAGAGATTACCACATGAGGAGACGAGGAGCGGTGGTGACGAGGTGGACAGACACAAGGTGGAGATGGCTGACAGATGGGAGAGGACGGAAGTGGTGATTCGGAGATGACGGCGACTGGGAGAGGAAAGAAGAGATACTCGAGAGGGATCAACTGCACTATGTTTTGAGTTTTTACCAAATAGAACATCTGTATATATTTCAGGTACTTGATCCGGTTAGGTTAAACTTTTTATGGTTTAATTTTGTTAAGTTAAATTATTTTTGTTAAAATTTGGTTAGGTTAACGCATTTCCAGTTTTGTAGACTTATTTATAAGTCTACCAGAATTTCTTTTTTGTTCTTTATGATTTATTATTTAAAAATAATAATATATAAATTTAAATTATTTTGTTATTCATTTTTCTCATATTGACTATGCGAACCAAACCGGTAGCTCTGTTTCCATGTGAACAACGAAAGACGATTGTTTTCTGGCACTGCGTGCTAGTCTGTCTACCCGTGAATTCAGTGTTCTTGGTACATAGATGATTGCCGAGTTATGAAAATTCCCTTTAAGCGTCTTGATATCTTCCAGATAATTTGCAAAAGCTGGCCATTCATCTGGTTCCGAAACCATCGTCACCAATTGAGAACAATCTGCTGCAAAAGTACCGTGATATTGACGCAAATTCCTCATACTCTCCATTACCCAGATTAGCGCTTCTACCTCAAAATGAAGAGGTCATAGGCTGCCTCTAACATTTATTGCTCCCATTAAACCCACAAAACCTTCAAGTGTGCTATACCAACCAAGGCCGTCAAACACATCATTATCTTTCCATGAACTATCAATTAAACACCAACGCCCTGGTATGGACGGTATGGTCGCGTCTAACCCTGACAGTGTTTCACTCTGAGATTCTCTCATTTGGACCTCCTCCTAGAGATTGGATTATGTCTCCGCCAATGAAAGTGTGTCCATCGAATCAACGTTCAAATTACTAGAAGTTTTGCTGTTTCTCCCTTTCTAAATGTACCACAATATCCATGCAAAGTGATGATCATCTATCTTAGGAATGACCCGCCAAAATAAATGGTCCATATTCGTAAACAGAGACACTGTAAGGAAAGTTACCAGGTTCAAAGAGATATTTGGCAATGCCCAAACTAGGCGTGATGGTGGACATTCTAAGAAAACATGGTTAACCTGTTCTTCTGCAGCGCCAAATTTGTCATAGGAAATGTTTTATCTTAGGAGTACACCGTACCTTCCTGCAAAATGCTTTTAAAACATCCACTGTCGGTCCCTGAATCTCAGCCGACCTTCCTCTATCTGGGTACATCCTTTCAGCTTGATATCCTAACTTAATTGTGTATTTTCCGTTCTTGGTGAAATGCCATCCCTTCCTATCTTCCAATAGGATAGGATGTATATAAATTAAAATGTGATATAATTGAACAATTTAAAAGAATGTATATTGATTAGGTCACTACAGTTATTCAGACACATCGTTACCTAATCAATATATATTCTTTTAAATTGTTCAGTTATATCACATTTTAATTTATATACATCCTATTGGTTTTTATATTGATGATTTTAAAAAATTCACATAAATTATTTTTATATATTTCAAAAATAAAATTATAAGATTAAATTAGGATGTAGACTTTATAATAAGTCTACAAAGATGACTTCATGTTAGACTTCAAAAGGATAGAAATGTAAAATAACATTCTTGTTTTTGGTTTATTCATAAGGTTTAAATAGACATTTCCTTATCCCTTTAGGTTTGTTTTCCATTCGAAAAAAAAGTGGGGTACACTTTTGGGTTTGACTTTTGAATTTTTAAGTTGGTTTTAGCAAATATCCCTAAACTAATTAACTGTAATCTTGTGTTATTTTTGTTAGGTTGATTATGATGATCCATATTACTTCACATGGTTTATGAATTGGTACAAGGCCCGGTTGCAAAGATAACCACATCAACTATATTTCACACATGGCTTTACTTTTATGCTTCCAAGTATGAGAGACTGTCTGGCAACAAATTATTTGGAATTTGTGAGAAAGAGGAAAAAATTCTATGAGATCCTTTAAGATATTATTGAAGTTGAATTCCCCGGATTAGAAAGCTGAAATACATCTTCTTCAAAGTTCGACTTCGTCGTCAACAGAGATGTTTGGTTTTACAAATTTGAAGTTGTTGATGTCAATGCTAGACGAGATAAAACCATCTAGATCGTTACATAAGTAAGAATTTTCTCAAAAATAAGCAGATTTTCTCAAGGGAAGTTGGATGCATAAGTATTGAAAAGGTGGGAAAATATAAATTTTATATGTAATTTTAGGTTACTAAATTTTAATATTCTTATTAATAACTCATATCAGATGGTGAGGAAAACAAAATGATGACCATATAGTTAGATTAGGTAAACAAACAAACAAACAATGAAAAGAAAGTGAACAATAAAATAGTAAAGAACTTAATAAGAGAACATGCAAGTAAAGAAAACAAAAACCAATATAACAACTGTCAAAGAGGAGAGATTTTATACCATAATTCATCTTCAAAAACTGGTTACTTCCTAAGAAAAGGGTATAGCTCATACCTCAAATTACATCCCAAACTCATAACTCTTGCTCCTTGTTTACTACTGCAACATTTGAAAAGCTCCTGAATGCTCAATTTTAAACAACTTGTACAATTTTCTACGTCATTCATACATTGCACCATTGCATATAACTTATACGTCCCAAAGTTATCTTTTCCTGCCGCGTAATATAAAAAGTTGTAGCCATCCAAATCAACTTTATCGGCTTTTAGAATCAAACTATTGAGGAAGTCGACTGTATTTTTGTTGAAAGACTTTTTATCACCCCTCACGTTATTTGGATTGTGCATAGTGGAACTATTCTCAAAATTAAACGTCTTCGATTTTGGATGCCTGATATTACTAACGTCGATATAACATTGATCGTACCATGTTATTCCTCCTTTGTTTCTCACACATCGTTTACGAAACTGTAATATACATATTTATATACATTATCTTTCTTTTAAATAATGATTTTATTTTAAATATAAATTGATTTTTTTCTTTCACTGAATAATGAATATAAATCGATTTGTTAATAATAATTTAAACATTAAATTATTATTTTATATTAATTAAAATAATATATATATATTCAGAAAATTTTATATAATATATTAAATTAAAACTCATATACACATGAAATTTATTGTTTAATATTTATAACTTAAGAAAAATAGAAAGACATATCATTCATAATAGTAAATGAAATAAGATTGAGAACATTGGATCAAAATCACCCAGTAATAGAGAAGCCTAACATAATAGAAATGATTTATTTTTTATACTCTTTTATTTATATTGTTGTCCAGTTAGATTTCAAATATTTTTAAATGTTAATTTTTGATATTTATATTTGAATTATTTATTTTATAAACAAAAAATTCAAAGCTGTGACCAATTATTTTAATTTTTTATATTAATAATATATTTTTTATAATGGCATTTGATTTATTTTTAAATCATCCTAAAATATATTCACCGTAGTATATTATGATTAAATGTATTAAATTTATATTTTATTTCTAAGATATATTTTAAAATTTTTTTTTTTATAATTAGAAACTAGTACTTTGAAGAAAAAAACTACTATAAAAGTGTGTGTTAGTATATTATTATATTAATATATTGCAATTTATATAGATAATAAAATTATAATGCTCCTATGAATATAACTATCTTATATTTTGTGCTTATGTCGAAGACTTCCTACGTTATATAACTAAGGTAACATTTAATATCTATAATAGTTGGAAAAAAATTAAGCATGAGAAAAAATCTATTTTTCTGGCAGAGTATATTAACGTGTACAATCACAAGGAGTTTTAGGTTTGAAAACAAATAATCTTTTAAAAATAAAAAATGTTTAGAACATTACCCCGGCGGCAGCAGTGGCAGCACATGATTGACATCTGGATCCGTACGAGTCACCGCGACACTGAAATCTGATGGTGACAACATTCGGAGCACTGCCATATTCTGTGATTGAAAACCCGTCTTCAAAAGTCAATTTTGAGAGGTCACGGATGGCTTTATTAAGGTTTTTCTCATACGTACTTCCATGCTTATATTTCCCTTGATTGAAACGGCATTTGTGAAGGAGGTAAGTGTTAGTAAGATTTACGGATGAAACATTGCATATGAGAAATAATTGTATGGCCAATATCCAAACAAAAATGAAGTGTCTGAATAGACAATATGAAGAATACATTGTTTTGGATTTTAATTATTCTCGGGAAAATTGAGATGCTTATATAAGATATTGAAGAATAATAACTATTATCCCCAAATCATAAAAAGTTCTATAATTGAGAGGGAGAGAGAAGACCTCAGTATTCTCGGCGAGAGAAGAGGAAATCTGATGAACAAATCAAAGTGTAACATTTAAGAAAAAATGAATCAAACTGATACAAACTTTGTTGTAAGCCATTGTATTAGTCCTATAAAAACAAGAGAAGTTTAATTACCCTTGCTCATAGCCATAACAAAAAATATATATTACCAAAGTGTCCTTAACATTTTCCGTTGGTAGATTTATTTTCAAAAAAAGATAAATCTATTGAATAATAAATCTGTTTATAAAATCTTGTTAGAAATAAAAATCTATCATTGCAGCAGTGACAAATTTTCTTAAAAACGTTAAATTTGTTTTCACGACAGAGTTAATTGTCCGATTTGTATAGAAAACATATTTTAAAGATATATCTATCAAATGAGACGACATATTTGTTATAAGTAGTAGATTTGTTTGTTCAACTTATTTTCATATGTTTGACTTATTTTTGTATTGTAGAGTTACATATCCGACATAAATTTGTAGCAGACTTATATAGTTTATAATGTGATGGACTTATTAATTTATGTTGTGACATATTTTATGACGTAAAATCTGGGTTTGTGTAAACCAAACTTAATTTAATCTTGAATTAAACTTTATCTAAATCAATATCGAATCTGATTTATTTTTAGTATAATTAATAAATTTTAAATCGGTTTATTTCTGTTGTAATGGTCGTCATTTCTTTCATCACTCTTTTTTTCCTTATCACTTGTTACAATCATTATTGCTTGGAGTAACATGGAGCATATTATACTCGTCTGTGGAAAGTGGACATTTGAGAGAAAAAGTTGATTATTTGAAGTTGAGAATGATTATGGTCGTAGATTTATGTTAGGTATATTTGATATTTTTATATTATCAACAGGCTCACTGGCGGAGCTAGAGAGGAGGTAAGGGGGGGGGGGGGGCAACTGCCTCATATGAATTGTTGGAAAATAAATATTTTCCTTGATTTTTTAAAACAATTTATGATTCAGTGTTAAAATCTATGCTAATGCCCCCAAGGTTTTAAGTTCAATTCTATGTTGCCCCTGATGAACTTTCTGTCTGGCTCCGCTACAGGCTGATATCACAATCATCTGAAGATGGCCATAGCAAAGAGTAGTCGTAGAAGGAATATATATATATGAAACAGTGTAACTCTTCTTTCTTTTGTTTTGTGTAGACTGCTTGTTTAGCAGCATTGGGCTTTGCGGAAGACTCCATAAACACAACATCCATTCTCATGATGCCAATGGTATCATTGAAGATTATAATGTTTAGAGGAAACAGACCCGAACGGGCTAAGATATTGTCCATGAGGATCAGGATGGAGCAAACAAGCCATGGAAGAAGGAACAAAAATGCTTGAAAAGACATTTCATAATCAGTTTGGAGCTGGTCTTAAGAACAATGCAAATATCAAGCAAGTAAACAAGTTTCAAGAAGACTTTTCAAGGCTCGAAGCTTGCAAACTGTCAAGAGGTGCTTAAGCTATTTGTTATGCTTAGCTAGGGTGTCAGTTTGATTTCTAGGCATGTGTTCTTTATGAGGCATAGGAATGCAACCTAAATGCATATGAATGCGACCTAACTGATTCTAGACTCAATGCTAAAGATGCAAATAAAAGAAAATATGAATCTGAATGCTTGTTTTTGTGTTTTTCGAAAATTTTCAAATTTCTTTGGTTTTGTTTTCAATGCAAATAAGTATTTATGTGCAATGCAATGCATGACACTCATGACAAGAAAAAAAAAACACTATGTGAGATAGTAGACTCTCCCCCAAATTTACTTCACACAGTCCTTTGTGTGAGAGTAAACTTGAAAGAGAGATCAAACAAGAAATAAAGATGAAAGAACTAAGTATTTACAAAGGTAGAGAAGAAGTTACTTGGAGTTCACTTGATGGGAGAAAGGAGTGAGGATGGAGGGCTTGTTGTGACCTTTGGAAAGATTTTGATTTCCCTCAAACTTGCCCTTAATCTTATTCAAACACATTAAAACAAGAGAAAATATAGATAGAAATTTTTACAAAGGATAAACATGAGATTTCCTTTCAAGTGAGTTTGTTTTAAGCCACTAGCTTGACTACCTTTTCTTTTAGTTAGTGAGAACGAGGGTCCTTCCCACCTTCAAGAGTGATGGTAAGGACATGAGAGAGGAGCTCTTGAAGCTTGATTGGATCATCTTAGAGCTGAGGAGTTATGATTGCCTTGCACTTGAGAATGATTTAAACCTTACCTTGCACTTGATCTTGTACTCAATAGGTCTATCTTTGAGCTTCAATGGGTGGAGAGTGAGAGTGTGTTGCATCTTATCAAGAGATGGAGGGTGAGGTTATTTCATCTTCATGTTCTTTCCATATAAGTATCCATAATGGCCCTACTCACCTCCTCTTTTTGAGAATTTTCCAAGGGTTCAGTACACATCTCTGTTGAAGACACTCTATCAAGACCTTCTTGTCTACTAACAATAACTTCACCCTTTATCTTCTCAATAGAGGGTTCTGTACAAGTGATGGTGCCACAATACTCAACATTCAACATTGGAGACTTGATTGGGCAAGCACCCACAGTATTAAGGAATGGTGTGCCTCAGATCAGTGGTACTCTCCTCTTGCTTATCATATCCAAAACAGTGAGGTCTATGGGAATGGTGCAAGCTCCAATCTTCAAAAGATAATCCTTGATACAAGCCTAAGCTATCTAAGGCTGTATGATCCCAAGAAAGAGAGATGGAGCCGATCTAGCACAAGGGGGATCCGGATGGAGTGATCTAAACAACCAAGAGGATCTGGACAGGAACAGGTAGGTGGATTGAAGTGCACTACACAAGAGATAGAAGGCTCGTGATACAACATAGAGGTTCTCTAGGCCGTGGAGGTACTGGTCTCACAAGGCAGAGAGAAGGGAGGCGATTTATTACTTGAGAGCTCTAGGATTTTCGGAAGAAAAGGTTTTATGTTTATTCAAAGTCTGCCCAAAATTAGGTTTTGCGGAAACATATATATAGGAACTAAAGAAAAAGGTCCCCCTTAGGTCAGGGAAATATAAATTTATAAAACTATAATCTAAAATTAAAACATAAGGTACTGATATAATCTTGGAACAAGATATCACCTAGGAGATGTGTAAAACACGTTGTGGCCTCGTTAAAAACTTTGTCCGTAAAACCCATTGGGAGAAAACCAAGAGCAAGGAAAAGAGCACATACAAAGAGCTTGGCCTAGTTACTAGCTCAGCTTGATCAGTGAAAGAGTCTTGCTAGACGAGTTGGTCTTCTATTGTAAGGAGAATATCTCATGGCTTCCATAGAAAGGTTTGGGTCGAACCAAACCGAATTAAGTTAAGACTGTTAAGACTAATAAAAGATAAAGGAGATTGTTGTTGAGATGAGCAGAGGTTTACATGAAGTAGAGTATCTTGGAGGCAGTAGAAGAGAAGATAAGGTGTTGAGCTAAGTTGGGTTACTAGTCACTTTATTACCGTGGTAACTAAAAGTTATTGTGGTAAGTTACCATGGTAAGGTAATGAGTGAGAGTGATCGAACACTTGTGTTGGAAAGGAAGGTCTGGTTCCCTTATTCTCTTGGTGACCGTTTAAAGATAAGGGAAGGTCTAGGAGCCAGCTGATGCTAGCTGTAAAGTGGTTTGGCATCTGGTCAAGATGCCAAAAGCATCAAGCATGTGAGGCTTCCTAGCCATTCATTTCAAACCAGGCGCCTTTCTTCACCTTGACTTCACATGCTTATTCTTTTCTTGTAAAGCAGATGCAACTCTCATTATAAACTCTAGTAAGCTCTCATTTTATCAATATACACGAATCTTATAACCTCTTTCTACTCTCTCTCTTGTTCATCATGGTTTTCATTCTTTTTGGTACCTAAACTTCTCTAAATCATTTCAAACCTTCTCTAATCTCTCTAAAATCTCTCAATACCTATTATATTCTATAAAATCTCATGATATCAGAGCAAGGTTGGCTTTGGTATTGAGAGAGTTCGTTTTTATTTTCCTTCATCTCTGTTCTCTTGGTGTTCAAAGCTCTTGTGTGTGATAAAGTTGAAGTCTTGATACTAGATTGAAGGAGTGTGTGTTCTTGCGGTCTGGTATTGTGTGTTCTTCAGCTCAAGTACAAGATTGAAGCTTTGTTCTAATCTCTTGTTCTTACTGTCAAGTGAAGATGGAAGGAAGTATCAACAATTTCAGCAAACTGGTGACTGTTCCAGTTGCTTTAAAAGGCGGATCTAACTATCTCTTGTGGTCAAGATTGGTTAAGACTGCCATTGGGAGGCTAGGGCTATGGAGCCACATCACTGATGATGGTCCAGAGCCAGTGGCTAAAACTCCTGAAGAAGGTGAAGAGGGAAAAGCGCTTGTAACAACTGAAGCTAAGAGATGGGTTCAAGAAGACTTGATGGTGATCTCAGTACTACAAGGGTTGCTTGAGGTCCCTCTCCTTGAAGCTTACAGCTATTGTTTGACCCATAAACACCTATGGGAAACTCTCCTAAATACATTTGGAAATGTCACTAATCTCAGCCGTGTGTTTGAGTTGAAGAGGACTCTTAACTCCATGAAGCAAGATGGAGGAGAGCTCACCAAGCACATGGGAATGTTTGGATCTTTATGGTCTGAACTTGAAAGCTTAAGACCTAGTACCACTGATCAAGCGACCATCATGGAGAGGAAGGAGCAAGATCAGGTGTTTGGGCTGCTGATGACATTGGATCCTTGCTACAAGGATGTAATCAAA